AGGAAAGGAAGAGGGGCAATGATTTCTGATTGATGCTTTCCCATCTCTGCATATTCCCAAAGAGGCACCAATAAGCAAGCATCCTTCAGTGGCAAGCACAGGTACTGGTATATGTTCTCCTGTTAACAACGCTGACAAAGGTGTTAGGATTATTATCAAAATACATACTTCTAAAAACCAGAAAGCGGGATGAAACTTCTAGAAACTTCTTCCCCAAAAAGAAAATTCAGCCAATGAATTGGAAGCGGAAATGATTCAAGTCTTCGGCCAGTCTGAGCAAGTTAGAGAACTAAACCGTACTGGACTTTTACACAAACTCCTAACGTTTCTGTACATTAAGTATGTGACCTTTTTCTTCCTAAAGCAATGATGCCATTAAAATTACCTGCTGCTGAGTTCTAATTAAGTCAAACTAAACGCACAGTGCAATAAACTTTGTAACCTCTTAAGCGCAAGTGCATTCAGCTATCCCGATGGCTGATTTCTGAAACAAAACTGAATTCCAGAGTGTGAGTTTCAGAAGCAAGCATGTAAATCATATACCTTATTTGAGCACAGCAAACTGTAGTAATTGTTTAATGGACACCTCATGTAAACCCAAAAAATTAACAATAGGGAATTCAGGCTTTATGCAGAAGAGCGTAAAGATGAATCACCATCTAAAAGCATTGATACGCATGAAAGCAGAAAGCCACAGCTGTGTTGCCAAGAATGACAAGCTGGACCACAGGGTGCTGAGGCACCACATGAAGACAGACGAACTCCAGACATCAGTTTCATTACTGGCTTTCATATGCCTACCAAAATACATCAGAAGCTAAGAAGAATACACTGAGGCAGGCGCTACGAAGTCAGGAAAGTCCCTACACACTAGGGGGAATCAGATCCATAATACATGATCGAAATGTAAAGTTTGTTTCAAAGGATTAAATTCACCTGTTTTAACTGACTTCTTCTCTTTGATAGAAGAATAATGTTTTCATTAAGGGCATCCCAGTCCTTAGCTTCGTAACACATTTTCACTATAGCAACTAAGATACGGGATGTGGAGACCATGTCAGATGCCTGCAAAAAACAAAGAGCGTATTAGTGATGGACTGAACAAGCTGCAGACCTCCATGCCTTGCATTCCAATTCTATGAAGGGAAAAAAACTGGTTATTCCTAGCCTCATTGATTTCCTTTTTAAAGAAAAGAACAGCAGAAGAGAAACACCAGACTGCAATTCCCCACATGACTTGAATGCAGTGGAACAGGAGGGGTGTAGGACACCATATGCTGCTTACCGTTCGTGTTTGTTTTTCCAAGGAGAGAAGGTTTTCAATTACTTCTTGCAATCTTCCTTCCTAATGTGATAGGGAAAGAATTATCACAGTGAGTGAAGAACACATTTCAATTTAAATGGAGAGTAGCTCCAATTCTCATGTAAGTAGAAACCAGACCAGTCTGCACGCTCATTTAAGTTTGGGTTGTACTACAAAGGGGTTTTCCCCTTAACAAAAGAAACACAGTATTAACTTTAAGGTTCTACACACAGATGAAACTGGAAAGATACGAGTTCCATTTCTGCCCAACACATGCCGTAAGTTGCTAGGTCTGTCCCTCAAGACAGACAGGTATCAGGCAGGTTAGATCAGCTCACATTCACCCACCTAGACAGAAGGCTCATTTCTTCCTAGCCAAAACAAAGCTTTCAGTGAGAACAGAGATGCAATTAGATACCTTGGCCAAGAAATTGTTCTACCATTACTTTCATCCACATTCATCATATCTTAATTAGAGGGTATTACAGAAAGTATAAACTACATGTTTTACTGTCTAAGCATGGAACTGGGACTTTCCAACCCTAACTATTCTATGATTCTATATTCTATAATTATAATACTGTTGCTTTTGGGGGCTTGAGAACTGTATTTGCCTATCTTTAGAGAACCTAAAGATGCCACAATGTACTTTTAGTCCTAAATTGTAATTCCTACCAATATCTCGTAAAAAAGAAAGTTAATGTTTTACACCGGATTTAAAATGGCAAAGCTGGACAGGGCTTGGAGCAAGCTGCTCTAGTGGAAGGTGTCCCTGCCACCGGCAGGGGGTTGTAACTGGATGAGCTTTAAGGTCTCTTCCAACCCAAACCAGTCTGGGATTCTATGATCATGGGGGAATTTGGGCAACTGTGGGGCTGCAAAAAAAAATGGTTAGAAACTAGAGAATTAATAACACAAAAAGAGAAAATTAGATTTATTTCTAAAACACACCCACCCCACTGAGACCTTTCAAACCAGATGTACTGTTTTGTCAAGGATGTGCTCTTACTGCACATAGCAATACGTGTTATGCAGCAGTGACCATGGTCGTGGTGTCCATACTCATGCAGAGCTGTGCCCATGAACGCCTGTTCCTACTCTCCATACAACACAGTCTTAAGATAATGTAAGATGTGTTTTGCTCATTTTACGGCTACTGCCTTCAGAATCCTACATGCGCTTTACAGAATAACGTGTCCATCACAACAAGACGTGGATCAGGCAGGGTATTTGTGGCATGGAAAGAATGAGATGACATCCTACCACGACAGAACCTAACAGCAAATCCCCTCTGTCTGTTATGAGGTCTGAGATGAGGCAGACCATTACAAAAAGTCCTTAACACACACCCTATGTGTGATTACTTCTATGAACCCACCAAAAAGCCATCCTGAGGTGGCCTGTGGCTGGGTGCACACACGTTTGCTGAGCAGATGCCAAGCACCCCATCAGCCTGCCATGGCTCTGGCCCTTCATGCCAGCCTTTTGGGGCACGTACACAGCCCAGTCAGCACCAAAGCGCTGCCTGCCCAACCTGACAGGATCGGCTGCACTCTGCTCTCCTCTCGCCTCCCTCCCCACCCTCCCGTGCACTGCCAGGGAAGCAATGGAGCAGCCCCGACTTCTCCCTTTCCCCAAGGCAGGGCCGGGTGTCAAGAAGCTGCCGCACGCATACCCCGGGCCTCCCCGAGCGCGGCCTAGCTCACCCCGCGCCATGACTCAGCCCATCCGCCCCGCCCCGTCCCGCTCACCTGCGCCAGCCGCTCGCACTCGGGCAGCCGCTGGTCCACGGTCGCGCTGTAATCCACCTCCATTTTCACGATGCGGCCATCGGCCCGCTCCGCGCCGCCCTCCGCCATGGCCCCGGCTGCGCCCCGCGGCCCCCGCCGGCGCACACACACACAGCGCACCGGAAGCGGGCAGGACACGCTCGGCAGGCGCTGACGGAGCCACCCCCGGCCGCCTCAGGACCCGGGGCGGGGCGGGGCGTGAGGGGCGGGGACACGCCGAAGGGGCGGAGCCTGGCGCGGCTCTTGGCGCGCCCGGGAGGGAAGGGTCTCCCCGGTACCCGGGGATGGGGCGCCAGGCCCGGGGCACTGGGTCCACAATGGAGCCCTGCGGTATCAGCACTGCCGTGGGGTCTCGGCACAGCCGCTACAGCCACGGTGTTGCTCGTAGCCGGTGTCAGGAGCTCCAGACCTTGATGGGGCTGCGGGGGGGTCATCGGGACGGTGTTCTTGCGCCGTTCCTCTGTATGTTGGGACGGGCACTCCGCGTTCGTGTGGCGGGCAGCCCCACGGTGCGACCTCGGTGGAGGAGGCGGGGTGCAGTAGCTTGTCACCATGAGGATTTAAGTGTGTGTCGTGTTCCAGCCTTGAGCCATTGAATCAACTTGCGTTGCTGGAGAGGTGAGGAGAAGGTAGGAGATGCCATGATTTTGGGGAGCGCAAGCATCCTGATTTCAGACGGTGTTGCACCATTCGTGGCTTTGATAGATGTCGGTACAATACACGTGGCGGCAGATTGTTGTCATCTCCCATCCCAGCAGAGGATTCCATGCACTACAGGAACTGCAATCACTGGAGGAGTTCAGCGCTCATAAGCTCTTCCCTGTGAGGGTGCTGAGGCGCTGGCACAGGGTGCCCAGAGAAGCTGTGGCTGCCCCATCCCTGGCAGTGTTCAAGGCCAGGTTGAACACAGGGGCTTGGAGCAAGCTGCTCGAGGGGAAGGGGTCCCTGGCCGTGGCAGGGGTTGGAGCTGGATGAGCTTTAAGGTCCCTTCCAACACAAACCAGGCTGGGACTGTATGTTTGCAAGAAAGCAACTCCTAAATCCTGATCAATGAATGCCCTTTTCTGTAGGGGTTCTCTCCCGGGGGAAACAGGTTACTATAACATTACACCTTGTGTTGTGTTACTCCAATCTGTGTACGTACCAACATGTTAACATGGCAAAGGCAATTCGAGATAACTGTGCTACATCTTTTGCTTACAGAATGAAGACCGAGTTACTGCATCTGGTGTAAACTCAGAGTAATTCAGCTGAAGGAGTTCAGAGCTAATACTGTATTTTGCAGTTGTGTCTGGTACTTGCTTTCCAGCTAGCACAGCACAGACCATGGATTTGAGTCACCTTCTCTCTGAACTCAGACTTAAGAAGTCTAGTTATCAGAATTTATCCTTCATTCGGAATGATTTTTGGTTATTAATTGACCTAAATACCAAAACTACATGCCTGTCGTGGAGAGTGAGCTCTCTCCTAACGGTGGCCATTCACAGGTTTCTACAGAGCTTTGGCTACTTATTTTGAATGGTAAAATCTCCATATTAGTGTAATTTTACAGTTGATGGATAAGGAGCGATGGCTTTCAGGGAAGCAAAACCTCACATGTAATGTAATTGAGCATGTTCCCATACACAGTCATGTTGGTTCAGGCAGCAAAAGGGTAAGGAGGTGAATGCATAACTGCAACTGTTATATTCCCTCGCCTGCATGGGTGTGCTGGGACATGAGGAGGCAGCTTTTGCCTCCAATGTAGACTTCCTGAATGGCTCAAAACCCCCTCAGTTCTTACTCAAAACTCTCTGTAAAATGCGTCAAGGAATAGTTGCCTTTTGTTGTCTCATTAAGAAGCCACATTTTGCTGACACAAGTCCATGTGGAGTTACTGCTCAGCATGGTTCAATATGGGCTTTTCCCCCCAGGTCAAAATGAATGATGAGTGAAGAATGTCCCATTTTCACAAGTGGCCACAGAGAACACGATGCAGAGGTAAGAGGTTTGTTTCTTACAGTACACGGAAAACAGACACTGAGGTGGGCTCGCTTGGCAGAAATCCTGCCTAGCTGGAGCCAGACGTCTTCCCTGCCAGCATGACCTGAAATGGAAGCATTTGGTGAGCACTGTTTGTAAAGGGTATTGGTGGGGTCCCTGGTTAATTCCCCACGTGCATGTGCAGAGAGCACTAGAATGGGCTGTTCCCCTGGGGGTGAGTGTGGGGAGACTGAAGAGCGTTTCACTGTAGGTAGGGGAAGTGATTTTGGTTTCTGGTTGAAGCAGCTCCGGGATCAGACACTACTTTCTGCAGACATCATGCTTTGATGTTTTAAATAGAGCTATAATGGTCAGTTTATGCTGAAATCAGGTAACAGGAGATAAACTAGTTTAGGTCTTTCTCCTGTTTTTATTGAAATCAGTGTCTCTACCTACAGCTGAGTAGTATCAAGGCCTTATGCAAATAAGTTCCACTTACTTATGCTGCTTTTCAGCAGTAATCCAGATACATTGTCTTCCATGAATGAACCCATTAGCAAATCACTTAAAACTGAAGCAGATGGTTTAGATCTGAATTTGCATTACCTGTAATCTATAGGTAATATCATAGCATCATGGAATGGTTTGGGTTGGAAGGGACCTTAAGGACCATCTAGTTCCAACCCCTCTGCCATGGGCAGGGACAACTTCCCCTAGACCAGGTTGCTCCAAGCTCCATCCAACCTGGCCTAGCACAGTTTATTGCCTTGTTTTGGCTATTTTGCATGGAAGTTTCAGGAACACATAGAACAAACATCATGAATTACAGCCCCAGGTTTGGTATGTAATAGCTGTTGTCAGGTCTGAGATATGAGTGTCATTAAGGACATTGTTCGTACCTCCGCTGAAAATCCAGGCTGTTCCCAGAGCTCCCAGATTTTCCATGTCTTTGTGTAGGTGTTTGCACTTCATGGGAAAGGCAGAGCATGTGAAATATTGTGCCGTTATTGCAGTGGGATGGGAAAGTTCTGTCGTTAGCTCCAGGAGATGGCACTGTGTCCTCTCCGGCCTAAAAACCATATACATGGCTTCGAAATGTACATCCAGGACCAATGGGATTCTGAGGGGGTTTGTGCTCTGTCTTGTTATGAAACACACGTTTCACTGTAGACCTCCATTCATCTTTAGCAGTCCTCAATACGGCCTTTCATCATTCCAGTTTTGTAGCTGGTGTCTGCTTAAATGCAGGTGTGTATTTGCCATTATGCAGTGCCTTGTGCTCTCCCGTTACTGGCACAGTGCTTCTCAGTGATCCGCGCTTTACAGCCGCTTGGGAAGCAGGGACAAGCAGCAATACAAGGTTTTATCATTGACCTGCGGTTGTGCAACGGGGGGATCCCCCCTCGTTCCAGACCCGGGCTCCTGTGCTACCAAGTGGCAACTTCATACGGGGTAAATCCCTCTCGAAACCGCGGCCCCCACGCCCACTGCAACCCGGTGTAACTGAGCATCTGCCTACTCGGGGTCGGGGTGAGCCCTCCTGAAACGGCTCCGTTGTTCAGCGGGGGGGGGGGGGCGGCGCGTTTCCACCCAACTTTGTACGTGGCGTTCGAAAGTAAATAGGAACAAGGCGATAGGAGCACACGGGTTGTGCCTGCGCTGCAGAACCCGCTGGCTGATAACGCAGGGCTGACCGAAAGGGAAATGGGTGAGGCCTTCACATCCTGTGCCCCGGCTCCCCCGCCGCCGGTAACGAGAGGCGGCTGCGGAGTCCCGGGGCCCTGACGGGGCTCTCCCTGCCCCGCGTTGTGAGCGCTTTGCACCGTTCGTTGTCCCCCGCAGGACCAAGCCTTCCCCCCCCTCCCCGCCCCGCATCGAGCCGGCTCCGCGTTGGGATCAGCTGGAGCCGGGGCTTGCCCCGCTCCAGCGCTGCCTCCCCGGGGGCACCGCCGGGCGACACCCGGAGCTCCGCGGCCCGGCCGCGCCGCTCAAACCCGCCCCTCGCTGATGTCACCCGCCCCCCCCGGGGCCGTTGTAGCCGCTCCGAGCCCGCGGCCACCGGATCGCTGCGCTGCCCCCCCCCCCATCACCACCACCTCCGGCCCCCCGGGCACAGCGGGAGCCGCGTTCGAGCAGCGGGGGAAGGAGGCGTTCGAGCCGCCTTTGTCTCGGTAACCGGCGCCCGTCCTTCCTGCCGGCGGCGCCGGGGGGGGAAATCAGTGGTTCCGCGGCCGCCCCAGGCATGCCGCGCCGGGGCTGCGGGAGGCGGCCGGTTGCGCACGCTTCCGACGGATGCCTCGGGCTGTAGCGGCGGCGTTTGGGGCGCGGGACTCGGCGGCGGCTGCCGGTGCGGGATTGCCGTGAGCGCGCTCTGGAAGAGGAGGAACTGGAAGGCAGGAGCAGCGGTGTTGGCTCTCCTCCGCCGGGGTCAGCCCTCCTGCATGGTCGCGTTACTGTCGTGTGGACGCATTGTCAAGCGCGCACAGAGAAAGGGACCCGCTCCCCGTGCTTGGTTTTCGTCGTGATCATCGTGCCGAAATAACCACTTTTCTCCCGGTTTGCTGGTCCGCACCGAGGCAGGGGGAATATGCTCATGAAGGAGTACCGGATCTGCATGCCTTTGACAGTTGAAGAGGTAAGCTCTGCCTCGGGGAACGGCTCTGACTTAGCGAGGGTCTTCTCCCTCCAGGCGAGTTGAGGCTGTGTTTGCTTTACTGAATCGTTCTTCGTGCGATGAACTTGGTCGGAGGTGGCTGGGCAGAGAGGAATGTTTTGGTTGGAAATGAAAGGAATTCCGCAGGAGCGAAGGTAACTGAAGTCCTCAAAGTGTTGGTTATGACGATTTTCCAGGCAGACTTTAGAGCCTTGCTCCTGTTTGCAAGGGAGCGCTTTGTGCTGAAATCCCCCATCTGATAACGCGCCCGTCCAAACCCAGATTCTAAAGATATCTTCACCTTTGCTTAAAATACCCTTGCAGTGGAACGTGGCCTGAAACTGCAGCACAGGTAGGGTAGGGAGGTGGTAATTTGTTAGCAAAACTTTATCATTTAGAGAAGCAGCTGGAAGTCAGAGCGCTCTTTGTGACCGTTCCAAACTCCGAGTTAGGGTTCTGCTTATCTGCGAACACCCTGCCTGCTCTTTGTTTTAACGAAGGCAGCAGTACCTGCATGCAGTGCCCGTGCTATGGGGTTACTGGTGCGTGTAAACCGTGGTTGTTTACAGGTGCGGATGTGAATGAGCTGGTCATTTCAGGTTGGCAGCAGGAAGGTAGCGCTGCTCTGCTCAGCCCGCTTGCGCTGCGCCACCGGACGTGGCTGCTTTTGCGCGCACGCCCTACGCGAGCCGGCTGCGCGCCGCGCATCTTGCGCCTGAGCTGCGCGGAGTTTCTCTTCGGCGGGCGCCAGAGGGGCCGCCAGGGGGCGCACTCCCCGCGGCCGCCAGAGGGCGCTCTTCCCCTCGGGGCAGCCCCGGGCCCCCTCGGCTCGGCTCGGCTCGGTTCGGTTCGGTTCGGCTCTACTCGGGGCAGCGCAGCGCCCTTCTGGACCCGTCTCCCCCCGGGCAGTAACGAAACGCAGGGATTTCACCCATTAATTCAAGCGGGTTTTTGTTTAAGTAGAGCCTGCGGGTGTTCTCTGCACCGTTCTGGTTTGGTTCCTTTGCAGTGTGCCCGGAGGAGTCCTCGCAGTGTGACTGAGTGCTCGTCTCAATGGGCTTTTTGTCCCTGTCTGAAAATTTGGCAAATTAACGGTGTTCTCAACCTGCGAATTGGAACTGCCAAATATTTACTTGAAGCTGCTCCGGAAATCCCTTTTTCTGGGAGCAGGACCTAGCCCCGCCGTGTACGTGTAGGTGAACAGGCACAGGTTTAATGCGTAGGTTTAATTAAGAACTTCCTAAATAACTTAACTAACAGAATAGTTAATTCTGTTATTTAATTGCAGCACACTGTGAGGGTGCTGAGGCGCTGGCACAGGGTGCCCAGAGGAGCTGTGGCTGCCCCATCCCTGGCAGTGTTGAAGGCCAGGTTGGACACGGGGGCCTGGAGCAAGCTGCTCCAGTGGAAGGTGTCCCTCCCGACACAAACTATTCTGTTTCCCAGCCAAGTTCCATAGCATGCTGTGATGCTGGCTGGCATTATTCTTTCAGTGCATCATTTCATGAGTTTATTGTGTTGTCCTAATGCCGACAACGTTTTAGCCAAGCCAGTTCCTGATGCCCTCAGACTACCACGCTCAGTTAACAACGGTTCGTTACCTTATCAGAAGGGAGCAGATCTGATTTCTTTTGGAAAATTGTTGTTAAACAAGATTTCCAGGTACAGAAAAGGCCAACCCTCCCCCCCAATGAGAGTGTTTGATGCATGATGGGGTCTTTTATTCCCTACAATGCAACACAATTAGCCAAGATACTCATGCATCTTGTAGGTTCTCTCATGTTGAATTATCCATTATTTAGTCCAAGATCTGCAGCTGAGATGTCTTGAACCTAGAACATATCTGATATTTAGCATGAATTTCATTATAAGTATAAAATGAGCTAGGACAATAATGTGCAATTGGCAGGTATCTTATTTTTGTTATAGTGATTTACATACTAAATAAAGTCCCACACTGTATTTCTCTTGGTGTTCATCTTTGTGACATCTCCTACAGTCTATGAAGGTGGTGTTATTTGATTTTTACCCTTAGTTGCACATTAACTACCAATAATGCATGGTATTTTGGGCATCTCTGTAGACTAAGGTGATGCTCTATGCAGCCCTTGGGAGAACATCATGCAGTAATGCTCACCCTTTAAAAAACAAGAGCACTTTGGTTCTAAGATGCCCAAACTGCCTTCTACGAGGTGCTAAGTCTCTGTAGCTCAAAGGGCTTTGTTGGAAATGCAATTTGCAGAGGATGTGCAGTTCTTCACGGGATTGGGATGTTGGGCTCTGCTCTACAGCGGCACTTGGGTACCTAATGCGCATTGATGTTTCTGGGGCTTGAGCACCGAAGTGTTTGCAAGGCTGTAGGTTT